CATCTAAGTAACGGCTCTCAAATTTGGCGACTCCTTATGATGCGTGTTTGAATGCGGGCGCAAAGGTTAATAAGCTCGAAGAGAAGAAGCGCATGTCTGATTAACAGAGAAGAAGACAGCTACCCATCCGTCGATGGAGGGTGAAGAAATGGATCCGTAGTGAATTGCTCGCCAGCTGGTATGGCAACCTTGCTGGTATGGCAACCTTGCTGGTATGGCAGCCTTGCAGTTCGTTGGGACGCGAACAGAAGGCCAAGTGTGCATTATGGTCCTGTTGTCGGGAGGGCATACGTGTGATTGCAGACACACGTACAATTGGGAGTCGAAGAACAAGTTGGACGTGGATGTGCTCTGTGGGCACCAGGCTGTGAGGCATCAGAAGGGGTAGGAAGGCGACGGGTGTTCCCAGGGACAGGATTTCAACCTTGGTTCTTAGGGCATTGCTTGGTGTAATCCTCGCGTTTAAAAATAGAGAGAGGCTAGGCCACGCAAGAAGGAAAGTAGCGTGAGGTACTCTGCGTCCACACGGAGCTTGCTGAAGAATTTGTCAGTGACTTCCTCTGCTGTCTCTTTAGAGGAGGCCTTCATGCACCTTGGACTTAGGACGACGCGCAGTTTGGTCTTGTTGGTGGGTTCCTTCCGAGGCGCGCGCGGAGTTGACGCACGAGGCTGTCACATTGCTCGTCCGCGAGCAAGTAGGTGTTGAGCAAATCATGAAGTTGTATGATACAGCCGTTTGCAAAGTGCCCAGCGAGCGTCTCATCCACCTTCGATTTCGATACATATCCCGATTTCCAACGGTTCCACATAAGCCCCAACGGAACATCGAAGGCATCGAGGCCTCTTGCGCGGGCATCCTGAAGCACCTGGGCACCGGCATGTCTCATGACTTCGCGCCAAGTGCGTCCCCCCGGCGTTCCGTCACTCGGGAGGATGGTGTGCAAACGGGCTGTGTCCCCCACGAAACTCTGCGACGGCCGCAGATCCGAGAGCGGTCGCGGCAGACACCCTTGGCAAAATCTTCCTTTCAGACCGTTGAGTCGGCATGCTTCTCGTGCTTCTCGTTCAGGCCCAATAGCGGTCGGCAAACGCCTTGCCAATGCTTGCCAGGTTTAGGAGTCAGCTTCTCATAGGCGGCCCGAAGTTCCCTCTCCATCGCGTCCAACGTTTTCGGCTCCTCTCCCAAACCAAGCAAGTCCATGGTAGCCACCGTGTTCGTGGCGTGACGCGTGTTCGTGGCGTGACGTTTCCAAAGAGTCGTTACCTCTGCGGGGTACTCCTGGTCTTCGGACACAAATGCTGCCAGCCGGGACAACACCTGCTCCATCAAACGCTCCCGCGTTACCGTTTCTGTGGCACCGGGGTACTTCGTGTACTCTGGGTCAATTACGACCTTAATTTCTGTGTTGCTTTTACGGAACTGAATTTGGTCCACTGATTGCAGAAGTAGGTCCGGGTCATCGCGCAACTTCTTCAGACATTGCATGCCAATCAACATAAACACAGAAGGGCTCATACGATGCTCCAAACCCCAGTTCAGACGCACACAGTCTTCAAGAGTATCAGGCAGTCCGAGGGCCTTATCCTCACTCAGAGTTCTGGCTGCCGAGAACTTCGTTGCAAACACACCTCCATGACCGCACACTTCTCTCCACAGCCCAAGAGACTTATGGCAACCGCGATAGAAGACGACACTCCAGTACACGAAGCCCTGCAACTCCACATTTCCCTAGTTCGCTTCGCTCAAAAAAATACATATGGATACGAAGAGGAGTTGGCCGTAATTCCGGCGGTCCGCAGTCATAAGTAACTCGGTCTTTAACGACACAAGTGGGTAGCGTAAATTGCGGACTAGTTATTAAGCGTACCAGCTTCTGTTGGTTCAGCATCGATGTTAGCCAGGCATCGATGTTAGCCAGGCCGAGTTCGTTACTCTGGTGGGCGGCACATGTGCGTGCTGTGTGTAGTAGTCCTCGTGCGGGAATTGTTAAGAAACGTTGGACAGCAAAAGCCGACCAGCTTTGACTACCCCAACGCCGAACCGACCGGCTGCACATGCAATGTGGTGTCCTCCTGGAGGCGACAGTTTATCACAGCTCAGGCAGGCGACGGATTACGTGAGAGACAGATCTTAAAAATAGACAGAGGCCAGGGCACGTAAGAGGGAGGCTGGCGTGAGGTAGTCTGCGTCCGCGCGCAGTTTGCTGAAGAATTCCTGAGTGACTTCCTCTGCTCTCTTTTTAGAGGAGGCCTTCATGCACCTTGGACTTAGGACGACGCGCAGTTTGGTGGCTTCCTTCCATGTGGCTCTATCCAGGCAGACGTACACTTGGGCGTACGAGCCGAGACAGCAATTCTCACCGCCAGACACGCGTTCGTTTATGCTGTCGAGGCTGTCGCAGAGCTGGCGTACGAGGCTGTTACATTGTTCGTTCGTGAGCCGGTAGGTTTTGATTAAGTCATGAAGTTGTATGATACAGCCGTTTGCAAAGTGCCCATCGAGCGCCTCCTTCACCGTCGATTCCGACGCATGTTCTGATTTCCAAAC